GTATGCTTAAGAATAACCAACATAATTGAAAGAAGAGATAATTTTAATATTCATGATGATGGCGAATTGTTTGACGAAGTGAATTAGCACACGCAGCAAAGTTCGTTGAAGGGTGAATATGTATTCTTATGATTAAAACAAGCCATGGATGGATATATTTGTATACATGTTTATCATGCTTAGATGTGATATTGCTTTTATTCACTAATACTATAATAGAATTCTAAAACCAGAATGTAATCAACTGTGTAATAAATTATTTGATTCACTCGGTTTCTTCTTATTTATTCATTTAACTATAAATCGAATATGACATGAGAATTTGAAGAATCTTTCTGACTGATAAAACTTATTAGATACTGGATAGTACTCGGATTCAAATATAAGACGGTTGGATCCGGATGCAATAATTGTAGTCGTACAGAATACTACTCTGCTCTATTTGTGAATTCATTTGGATGTATTTCCCAATCTGCAAGGAGTTCCTGCGAATTCTTTCGCTCGCCAGAAGTGTTATTCGGTTGCTTTCAGGGATTTTGCTCAGAAGAATAAAATAACGTTGCTAACATTGATAGTAACAACCGAAGACCTTTTGACTTCTTAAAAAGACTCAATTTTTTGAAAAAAAAACATTATAATTAAGTAATTGTCAGACAATAATGCATCTAGGTCTTGTAGTTCCGAATATATGTGACTTTTCCCACAATTAAGATCAGAGGGTGTGGGTGTTGGACCTCTCTAAATATATCCTACACCCGCACCCAAATTTAGCTGGCCGTCATTATTAGAATCATGACTCCTAATAAGGATGAATAAAGTTTCTTATCGTAGACGACTGATTTCTTCAGCAGAAAGTTTGAGAGAAAAAAATCGCTCGTATACCATTTGAAAGTGGAGAATACAAAGACTATGTATATATAAAAATATTTTCAATTACATGTAAAATACTTGCACACGAAGTCAAACAAGAGAAGCAAAAAGTGTCGCGTCGTTATTAGGAAAAAGCACTCTATATCACTACTAAATCGCAATACCAAAAGGTGCCGATCAGGTGTCGAGGTGCTGGGGACATCCAACCTGCGGTTTTCCACTTGGTTCTTCATAACAGTTCTATGTATGATTGATAAGCATTCTCGTCAAGATGACGATTGATTTCCATGTGATAAATAAATAAGGAAGATATCTCTCTATACAAGATTCAATTGAGTTGGCAAATCATTCTAAGCTTTAGTAAGATCTTCTATTTCATGAAAAATGTTCAGATTTATTTAACATTTTTTTCGAAAGAAATTAATTTTGGAATATAAGAAATTCTTCTAAAAAGAATTTTCAATCAAAGATAAGTTGACCTAAGCAAAAAGTAATATTTAATTAATGCAATGATCTGTGAGCGTTTTCTTCCATTCAATTAATACGAGTTATCTCTTTATTCAGAATAAATATCTATTGATTTTTTTATAGGTTATCTGCTTGCCTAGTTTTGGTTTTTTTTATTGTTAACTATTATTAAACAAGACAAGAGTTAAAGAGCACTGAAAACAATATTTTCTTCATATAAGAATTGAATTGTTGATGGATTATTTCCGGCAACATAGCTTCTTTCAATAGTTAATCTACATTCAATCTACGTTGTCGATTTCTTCCGCTTTGTTCAAAAGATTGATTTGCTTTAACTTCTCGATATTTCAATTTATTGTCTAAGAATCTATTAAATAAGTGTCGCAAATAAATGTAAAGCATAATTTAATTAGATTTCTACCGATGGATATTGTACACATGATTATTTCTAATGTATCGTATCGATTTTTTCTTCGAATAAATAAATTATGCATAGCGACAACTAACGACAACTATTTGTTAGTCATATCAGACGATCTTCTCATTGGCTTTACATATAATAAGAGGCAAAAAGAATAACATAAGTATAAATACGAGCGTCTATTTACGATGAATTCAACTCTAACATTGATCTTCCATCAACAAACATGTTGAAAACAGACGAATTTCGTGTAGTTAGTCAAACATCAAATCTTCATCCAACTGAAACAACAACTGATGCACCGACACATACTAATGGATTCTATATGCCACCGGCTAAACGTCGTCGTTTACAAGTATGATCGTTTGAAATCATAAAATATATATTTCTATTTTTAATTTAGGGTACATTAACTGATCTATTAATAAGTGAATATCAACGTTTAGCATGGGAAGCTTTAAAAGAAATTATTAATGATCAAGTTAACGAAGTGAATAAATCAAATTTATCAACAATTATTTATGAACTACTTAAATATAATATTATTCGTGGTCGTGGTTTACTTGCTAATGCTATTATTCGAGCACAAATTAGATCTCCATCTTCTACTCCTGTTTATGTTGCATTAGTCTCTTATATTCATAGAAAATTTCCACTAATTAGTGAATTAATTTGTAAACGTCTTATATCATCATTTCGTCAAACATATCAACGTAATGATAAAATTAATTGTTTAACAACAACAAAATTTGTTGCACATCTTATTAATCAAAATATAGTATGTATTTTTTTTTAATAAACACAACAATTCTACTATTTTTTTTTTTTGATTTAGTTACATGAAATAATTGCATTACAAATTCTTCTTTTTCTATTCGAAAATTCAACTGATGATAATATTGAATTAGCTGTTGAATTGTTAAAAGAATGTGGTCAAAAATTATTACAAGTTAGTCGACCAGAATTAGATTCTGCATTTTTAGTATTAAGAAATTTACTTCATCAATCATCATTAAATAAACATACACAAGATATGATTAGAAATTTATTTACTGTACGAAGAGATGAATTTAAAGAATATTCAACTATTCAATCTGGTTTAAATTTAGTTGATAAAAATGATCAATATATACATATACTGCAATTAGGCGTTTTTTATGATTCTGAAAGCATGCTTGGTTAAATAAATATTTAATTAAAATAAAATATTTCATGTTTTTCTTTTTTTTGTTTAGATGTATTTAAATATGATGAAGAATATGAAGTTAATGAAAATAAATATGAACAAATTCGAAAAAGAATTCTTGATGAAAATGAATCTAGTTCGAATTCATCAGATAGTGATGAAGAAGATAATGCTAATGAAGAAAAACAACAACTGAGAATTACCGATCAAACTGAAACAGATTTAATAATACTTCGTCACAAAATATGTTTAACAATCCAAACAAATATTGATGCTAAAAAATGTGCACATAAATTACTTAAAATGAATTTACATTATAGACGAAAGGTATGTTTATTATGAACGAAAAAACACACGAGTATTTTAATCTTCATTTATAGAAGGAATTATGCCAAATGATTGTTGATATTTGTGCCCAACAACATACATATGAAGATTTTTTTGGTTTAGTTGGAGAACATATTTGTTTATCAAAACAAGGTTATGTTTATTGGTTTAAACAGATTTTTCAAGATCAATATGACATTTCTCGTTGGCCGAAAAATGTTAAATTAAATAATGTGGCTAAATTTTTTGCACATTTACTTGTCACAGATTCGATTTCATGGGATGTATGTATTCATTCTTGATATTAAATAAAAATATTATGATTTGATTTTTCTTCTAGGTATTCGACTGTATTTATTTAAGTGAAAAAAATTCAACATCATCATCACGTATTTATATGAAAATTTTATTTTTGGAATTGTTTCAATTTCTTGGTTTTACTAAACTTAAAAATCGTTTAACTGATCCGTAAGTCGTTGGAAGATAAAAGAATAAAAATTTATTTTCTTTTTTCATTCTAGAACATTGAAAAATTCTTTTCGAGGTGTTTTTCTACGTGATAATCCAGAAAATGCTCGATTTTGTATCAATTTTTTCACATCAATTGGTCTTGGTAGATTAATGTAACGTGTTGAATTTAATGTCAATGTATGATGAAATTTTGCAACATTTTTCATGATCGTCATCCTCGTTATGAAGAAGATAAAAGAAAAACGAAAAAATATAAATATCATAGGATTTAAATTAAACAAAGATTTTCTTTTTTGATTGTATTAGTTTCTTTTTGTTATTATTTATTATATAAGTCAAATAAAATAATTTGAAAGTCGTTTCAAAAAACTAAACTATAAATAGCTCTCACAATCTTCGAAATCTATTTCATTCTATGAATCTTTGAAAGATTTTGATATATTTTTAGTAAGTGAATGAGATAACACCAAGTATAAGTGCATTAGATGAATCTGAAATTCAGAAAAATTTTTAGTTTAATTAATTAAATTTATTTTCAAAAGATAAAATGAAAACATCGAAAAATGATTTATTATCATTTTTACTAGGTGATCGTATTAAAGTATGTGAAGGTCAATTAAGAAATTTTCAAGATACAACTGTTATAGTATTCATGGACATTCAATAAGAATTTTACTAAAGCATGAAGCCTTAAAAGATGAATTTTCATTTAAAGCAAATCAATTACGAATATATTTATCCCTTCGAAATGGTGTTATGAGTTTTAAATGGAAGATTTGAAGATGAAACTGGTATGATTGTTGGAATTGATCAAACAAAAGTTACTTGTTTTAAGTGATGAAACTAAAGATGAAGTTTGTTTTTTTTTAATTAGCTGCTTCTTAGAACATTAGATCTTCAAATTTATAAATAAACAGCAACAGATATTGGATTCAACTGAACAATTTCAACTAAAAGATTTAGTTAATATATCTTATGTTTTTATTAAAAAAGAAAAATAAAGTGTTTACTTTGAAAATTTGTATAGGACAGATAAAGTTGGTGTTGTTTACTTAGACTTACTTTAATGTAGAAGACATTTATCATTTTTGTTTGTCGATGATTATCACAATTACTCAGCTAATACACAAAATGTGATTATAGATTTTATTTGTATAGTAGACTTACATAGGCTTCATTGGTGGGTAAGACAGTGAGCTTTTGAAGATCAGCTAAATCATTTGGAGTATCAAAAAGTGTTTGCATAAAAGTTCTTTTGCTAATATTTCGAATAAAAGAACAAGTGTCACAACCGAAAAGAATGTAAATAATAAGAAATAGTAGTGGATTAACAGCATATATATCAATTAATTCATTATGAATATATGTAATATCAAGAATTTTTGATGGTTTCTTTGGCACAATTGCATCGACAAACAATTTTTGTAAACCACAGAGAGATGCATAAAATAACAAGTAACGCTCATCACGACGACTCACTTAACTATCGACTGAATCCAATGAAATTATCGTATATTTCTTCTCGTTGGATTCCGTTCTGAGAAGTATCCTTTAATAAACAGCCATATTTAAAAACCTAGATGTAATATGTCATTGACAATTATTATGTGAAAAAATCTTTCAAATTCTCTGTATAGATTTTGTAGAATAATGCGTAAGAGTCGTCTCGCAGTCGGTCGTCGACGTCTCTACGGTATCCACATCCGACTGCTCGATTTGATGCATTATGTGTATAAAACGTAGTGTGATGCTATGAGACTTTGTTCAAAGTATTCTTTTAGATTTTCTAAAGACCCTGTGAAAAAGACACCTATTAATTGATATGCTAGCTATCAATTCTCTCCATCACTGATTTGATTAACTAGAGCAATTGGATACGCTTTTTAGTGCCTATGATACAACCGAAATTCACAGATACGCAACACAAATTTTTATGATATCCATTCGAGCAGTATTTTTTTCTCATAGTCCAAACCAGGTCCTTAAAAAAATCCTTGGGTGAGCTGCATACCCATGTAGCCGATAATGGATGAATAATGGAAAATGATCCATTATTTTCCATTATTTGAAGAAAAACATGAATTAATGCATTATAATTAATTATTTTTTGACTTTTCAATGCATTTCAATGCATTATTTCTAATAATGCTGAAAATGAAGGATAATGCCTAAATTTTCAATGCATTGTAATGCATTATTTAGAATAATGTAGAAAATTCCAATAATGCATTATTATCCAATGCATTTCAATGCATTATTTCTAATAATGTGAAATTGGCTTGAGAATGCAGCAAAATTTCAATGCATTACAATGCATTATTCCAAATAATGGAGAATTTTAAGATAATGCATTATTATTCAATGTATTTCAATGCATTATTTAGAGTAATGTTTTTAAATTAGAGAATTCACCATTTCTGTAAAAGAGATATTGAAAAGTGATTTGACAGGTAGATATTTGATCTAACGCAGCTTTCTGTGTATCAGGTGCTTTTCAATAAGAGTTGCGCAAGTTAAAGAACTAATAAAAAATGTAACCTGAGTTACAGCGCTCAGAGTATTTTTTCGAATCCCTTTCCCTGATAATGGAAACCTAATCGTATTTTTAGAAATCACTAGGGTATTCAAGGAAACCTACACTATTGAAAACTTGAGCCAAAATCTGATGAGGTATATCAGATTACCCTTTCAGGTTCCAAAATATTTCCCAAGGCAAGCCAAAGAGTTTCCGAGTTCACTCAATCGGGCAAATGTGCACCAACGAACCGAAATCCGATCTCGAGTTTCTATTTGATGCAACGAAACGCTACTAAAGTTTTGAATGCTTTTAGAATATTCTGTAGAGTGAAAGAGATCACAGTCTTAGACCTCTCAAGAGGTTTTCCCTCTTAGTTATTGCTCAGTTTCGGATGTATCTGGTGAACTAAAACTGCTCACAGTATCAAGTATAACCGATTAGATAATGAATCATTTTGTTTTCCAAATCTGAAACCATTTTAATACTATTGAAACAGTCTTATGTCATATATACGTTCTTGAACTGTTCTCGGTTTCAACTACAATTGGACATGATCCAAGGGGTAAGTTTGAATTCAATAATAATAAAATTATTTATTCATTATATTTTGTTTTAGGCTCTTATCGATCTGCTCGAAATGGTAAGTTACAATTCAATATTAAAATTATTTCTATTTCTTTTTCCTGTGTTTTAGGTTGATATCGATGATGATCGAAATGGTAAGTTCGAATTTAATAATAATAAATTTATTTATTCATTAATTGTCTTTTTGTTTTAGATTCTTATCTGATATGATCAAAATGATACATTATGGGATAGATATATATAAGAGGGTTGATGAAAGTTAAGGGGTTAAGTTAAGTTCGAGAGATAGATTAAGGCAAAGGGGATAGACATAGATAAGTTAATAGATTAAGGTTAAGGGAATAGATATAGATAAGTTAACAGATTAAGGTTAAGGGAATAGATTTAGATAAGTTAATGGATTAAGGTTAAGGGGATAGATATAGATAAGTTAACAGATCAAGGTTAAGGGGATAGATATAGATAAGTTAATAGATTAAGGTTAAGGGGATAGATAAGTTAATAGATTAAGGTTAAGTGGATAGATATAGATAAGTTAATAGATTAAGGTTAAAGGATTAAGTTAAGGGGATAGATTAAGGTTAAAAGGTTAAGTTAAGGAGATAGATGTGCAGAACCACAGAGATACAATTATGGTGATTAGGATATCGATTTAATAGGATAATATAAATCTTGTATAGGAAGTGCCAAATATGAAGTTTTCAATGCATTGTAATGCATTATTATAAAAAAAAATGCATTATGATGCGTTGATAAATCAATGTATTGCAATGGATTAATTAAAATAATGCATTATAATGCATGAAATAGGTTGCATTATCATGTAATTGCATCCATTGCATTTCTATTGTAAAATAATGCATTGCAATGTCCATTATTTCATAAAATCGGCTACATGGGTATTCTCGATCTAAAATATTTCCAAATCCTTGTTTCCTGAATTATTTCAGTTAAAATATCTTTTGTGAGATTGATAGAACCGAAAGGAATAAATTTTCTCTTAAACACAAGAAATTAAGTAATTAGTTTCTCTTGTAACTTTCTTGCAATATTTTTTATGAAAATATTGCTAATCTTTTCACAGAAATATAACCAATATAAACAAAAACTGTTTCTGTGAAGTTATATTTGCTTCACACATATATGTGTATAAGGAATCTTTATTTTAAATCGATTTTCAACAGATTTTTTTTATAAGTTTTGGTTTAAATAAAACTAATTGACAGATAATAAATCTTGATCAATTTTGCTGAATCTCAAGCATAATAAAAATCACCAAAATCCATAAAGCTCTGAATAAATCCATTGTATTACATCGGAGTATGAGAAGATCTTTAGTGGCTCTTAACAATCTGGAAAAACAAGTGAAATTCATCACAAGTCGATGATTCTTGAATAAAAAATGCACTAGAGAAAAAGCGTTAATATTTTCTAATGCTTAGAGACATGGAATTGAAATTCTTTACCAAAAAAGCAGATCTTGTATTCTGGCGGAATCCAGTAAATCCAAAATGAATTCAGTGCATTCCAATAAATTCACTATCGTATTAGTCGGAGTTCACCAAGATTCTAATATTCTACATTCGCATATTATTCTTGGAGAAAGCAGTAGGTAGTGTGTGATTAGTATAAAAAATCAACTAGCCAAAACGAAAGCAGATAGAGAGGTACTGAGACGATCGAATAAGAAAGTCATAGAAGCCAATTCAAGACTTTAAAACATCTTTTTACTATTCGAGTTGTACCATGGGATCCCATGGGATGGGATGGAACGAACCGTAAATCTCACGGGATGGGATAAAACTAGTCTTCCCATTCTATCAAATGATGTAAAAAAAAAGGCAAAAAAAATTTTACTCAAAGTTTGAATTGCTTGTAGCTTGCTTCTGTTTATCTTCAGTATATACCCATTCTTTTCTTTACTTTATGTCTTTCGTCTCCGACTGACTTTCTTCCCATTATTGTGACGTTATTTTCTTTCGTTCCTTCGATTTTGAACAGTTTTACATATTTAAATGACAAACTTGAAAATAGAAATCTCAATTATTTAATCTTATGTATGAAATTTTTGTCATCATATAGTAGATCTTTGAAAATAATCTATTAGAAAAAGTCTGACTATTATAAATTTCTTGATGGTTACCGATGATCAAGAATAATATAAAAGGCAACATGATACAACGAAACATGAAAGTTCTTGAATAATCTATGCTAAATTGAACTGAAATTCTGCTATTATGTCTATTATAGCGTCCATAAAGTCCTCAACTACTCAGAATTATTTCAAAACAAAAAATACAACAATAGGACCAATAAACCAAAAACATGAACAAATATAGCTGAAAATAATTTGACCATTGAGAAGATATTTCAGCATTTAAAATGGATAAAATCGATTTTGATTTGTAGCAATGATTTGAAATATCTGATGAAAATAAAAAATATTAAAAAAAGTTTTATCTTTTTCTTTTTTTATATTTAACTGTTACTCAATTTATTTTATCGATATTCACTTATTCTAGAATAAATACTAGATCCTTTTATTTGTTCTCATATGAAAAAAAGGTCAACGTACAGCGAAATTTAAATTCTGTACATTATTAACAAATTTGTTTTTGATCAAAATTTTTTTATTTCTTATTATAAAAATTATCATAAGAAATCGTTTGAATCACGAAATAAATCAGAAAAAGTAAATATCTCTCACATTTATTTTTACAAACTAAAAACAATGAACAGTAAGATCAGAAATATAGATGCATAAATACTATTTATCTTTTACGTAGAAACGAGGTCATATATATTTAACTAGAAAAGTCATGGTATTTTATATAAAATATCCGTAATATTATCATATATTATAATAAATGAAGTAGATTATTTGTCTGTAAATCAATCTAGTAAAATTATATTTTTGAAATATTTGTCACGTATAATTGATTGAAGTTTTAGTGGACTTGATGCTTGATGTGGATATTCTTATGACACAATATACACATCAATAACATCTTTGAAATAAATTTTTTATTTCATTTAATTACGAAGAAGATTTATCAACATAGATGTTGATAATAAAAGCATTTTTTTAATTTAGAAATAAAGAAATATGCTAAGTGATTATCTTCATATTGATGACAAATAATTATATGATAATCAGCTATTCAAACAAATTTTTCAAGAACAAATGAATCTTAACTGATATTATAAAACAAGTTGATATTTACATGAAAACAAAGACATCAGAACGCTGACATTTCAAAGTCTATTTACGATTAAAAAAAAGCATTTTTTAAATTTCAGTTAAAATATTTATCTGTATATATAAAGAAACATGTCTGTTTGTTTGTTTGTTCGCGATTCACTCAGTCCCTGTAATAGCTAGCGTCACCAAACTTTTCACGATTCTTTTCTAAATCCTGGGAAAGGTCGACGTCCACTTTTTTCCGAAAAAGAATCAATCGTTCGCTTGCTACAGACTGCCTATGTTACTGACCAATAGTATTGCAGCATTTCCAAATATTCAAGTAATTGGTAGTGAAGGCGGCCGAAGGCCGTCTGAGCGCACATCTACTACAATTTACACGTTCCATCTATCTATATACCTGTATATATCTTAATCTATCTGAATATCTTCTATTTGTACATGTAAAGAAGAGTACCTGTTGGTCCGTTTCCTCTTACCCTTCTCTGCCCTCTTCCATCTGTTCCTTCTCTCCCTGGACACATATACCCTCCTTCGAACTGCAATTTTTGTCAATATTTCAGAAATTTAAAAATCTTTTCTTTCTTTGTTTTAATTGTGAGAGTTTTGACTCTCATTATCAATGTGAATATATGCATGTATAAACATTGGCAGGACATACAAAGGCAGGAAAAACTTGAAGGAATATGGACCCAGTCTGTAACACTTGAAGGTTCCAATGTAAAAAATTAAGGAAAAAATCTGTTAAAATCATACGCTTTTAATCGATTTTTCATTGATTTTTAATGGAATAATCTAAAAAGCTGAATTTCCATCGACTAACAGAAGATACTGAAATTAACAATATCTTGTAGATTTTAGATGCTTCTCAAGTCAATCAATTGCTGCAGTATAAATCCATCTAATTTATTTCTGGATTTCGAACAGAAAATTTTGTTTTTTTTTGGAGAAGATGATGTAGCTGAAAAACTTCGACTTGCCAATTATACTTAGCATTCTCTTTAAGAATATATGGAAGTTCCACAAAACGAGATATATATATAAATTCTAAAATTGATGAACATTTATTATTATATTAGAGTCGTGCAGGCAGTAGCTCATTCTAAATAGTAAAAATTATACATTTCTACATAGTTTCTTTCGAAAATACACTTACTAAATGTCCAAGGAAAATCATCTGATCGTCAACGATGCAAAGTTTGTAAATGAGGCATATGAGTACTGAGAAAAGATACAAGATTCTTTCCAACGTATATCGAGTCATTAAAGCCATAATGACAACTAGGAATACTGAATTCACCACATTGAACAGAGCTCAATAAAAAATAAAAGAAAATTAGAAATTCTCTAGAATTCATTGCCTTGAATAGTTTGATGCTTGCATTGAAATAGAATGAAACTAGGCGTCTACAAAGCTCGAGCTATTCAATCTTGGTCAGACTCATTTTGGGATCTGACTGAACCCAAGTCAAACTAATGCTAAGTCTAACAAAGTTCAAACCCGACCAAGTCTAAACTGTTCAATCTAGGTTCAGCTCGATGCAAACCTACGATATAACGAATAACTAATATAAAGATGAAAATTATTTGAAACTTTTTTTATTCTTTACATAATATCGAAGTCTTCACTAAAATACTATGGCTATTTTCTAATTATTCTTTTCGTTTTGAAATTTTTGTATTTTAGAATGATATTTCTTATCATCTTCTCTATTTTTACTTATCAACAAATAAGAATAACAAGGCTTTATTTCATTCTTATTCTTAAAAACAGATACACGATGATCAGTTTTCAATAATCCATGTGTCCAAATCAATTATGAAAAGGAAACTATTTTTTGTTAAATTTCAAGTAAGACAACAATTGTAATAGATACTTAAGTTGAACTAGCGTTAAAATGAAATGAGCAAATATTTTTGTACATACTTTATTTAGGTTGATTGATTGTACTAACAACTTTCTAAAAAGATTAATTTCTTTTTGTAAGTTA